ACGTGGCGGCGGGGGACGGTCCGCTGCGGTCGGGCGGCAGTCCCGGAGCAGCCGGAGGACGCTGCCGAGCCGAGCCGAGCCGAGCCGAGCCGAGCCGAGCCGAGCCGAGCCGAGCCGAGCCGAGCCGAGCCGAGCCGAGCCGAGCCGAGCCGAGCCGAGCCGACGAGCCGAGCCGAGCCGAGCCGAGCCGAGCCGAGCCGAGCCGAGCCGAGCCGAGCCGAGCCGGGCCGGGCCGGGCCGGGCCGGGCCGGCCGCTCGGCCCAGGCCGGTGGTGCTGGTGCTGCACCGGCCATAACCGTAAAACGAACCTGCAGCGAGCCCATGTGTACACGGAGATGGCTGAACGATGCGCGATGATTAGACGCCGGGATATTGCGCTCGTAAATTAGCCGGCGCCAGTGCCGTGGCAACGCTGCTAATGGCGTCGTGGTGTGGCTTACCGGCTTATGGGCCCGGCGAAAATGGTGTGCTGTCCGAGCTGTCTGTGCTGCTCGGGCGCGATTTGTTTCCGTCAGTCGGACCACTTTATCTTGATGGCAGATCGGGGAGGCTGAAGTGGAATTTCGCTATGATTGCTCCGATCGGTATCGGGAGTCGGTTATAATGGAAATGTACGCCGGTTATTGGGGCGTTGGCGGGACGAAAGTCGGGTTCGGTCGTCACGCGCTCATCTGGCGTGGGAGCTGCCGCGAGCCGGCCGGACTCCGCGCGGCACGCCGGCTGCAGCCCGGCGCCGGAGCGACGGTCGCGTTTGCTCAGCGCGTTAGCGTGATCGATAGAGGCATATGGGCCGTGTGCTGAGCATGGCGCCGCCGTCCCGCATATTCAGACCGGAACTGTGGGAGTGCTCCACGGAAGTTTGAGATGTCGGTCAGTGCGGCAGACGGATGGCTGCTGCGGTCGAGGAGCGTGTCTGAAACGAAGCGTACGCAAGTGACAATCCACCAAGGTCTGCAGAGTGTGCTGCGGCGGAGAGAGAGCGCCCGAATCGCTCTTCCCCAGCCGGGCCGCTTTTCTCGGGCAGTTATAAGGTCAGACATATAAATGGGGAGTTTTCCAGCTCGTCTCTCTGCCAGTCCGCGCCCACGACCTCGATGCTGCCACCCTCGGTTCCCGTGTGACCCCCCCCCCCCCGCCCTCTGGGCCAGCCCGGCGCCGCCGGTGCTCAGTTGCCGTGTGCCCTGCCGGGTCAGCCCTCACGTCTGTCGTCGGCGCGGTCGGCACCTCGGCCGGGCTATGCCACCGCTCGGCGCCGCGTGACCGGTGCCGGCCGGTCGTGCCCCGGGCCCGTCACCGGCCGTGTCGGCAGCGACCGAGCGAGACCGCCGCCGGCGTCACGGCCCTCCGGCGCGACCGACCCGGGCCCGGGGGAACTCTCACCCAGCGTAACCGATCCAGGCCCGGGGAGCTCTCACCCAGCGTAACCGATCCAGGCCCGGGGAGCTCTCACCCAGCGTAACCGATCCAGGCCCGGGGAGCTCTCACCCAGCGTAACCGATCCAGGCCCGGGGAGCTCTCACCCAGCCCGGGCCTCGGGCCTGGGTTAGGACTCTCAGTGAACTCTCCGCCCGGACTCAGAGCTCACTAAGAGATCACGGAGGGCTCACAGAGAGCTCACTGAGAGCCCACTCAGAGCCCACTCAGAGTCCACTCAAAGCCCTCTCAGAGCCCACTCAGAGCCCACTGACTGGGCTGGGTCGCCGGCCTTCTGTCGCCTCCACGGCGCACATGTTTTTTGTGCCGGAGGCTGTTGCTGGTCGGCCGGCAGTGAGGCCGGCAGAGTGTCGCGGCTGGGCGTGCGTTCGGGGTGGTATCACCACCGATCTGGTGCTGAGAGATGGTCGGATGGTGCCACCCCGCCCGGCATCAATCGGTGTGTCCGGACCCAACTGTCGGTTGTTCCAAAAGTGGGACACACCGACACAGACTGTCGGTGTCCCCGACTTCCGACTACATCACCCTGGCAGCGAGCGCACATCTGGCTTACGCGCCGTGCGTGGCTGGCTCGTGGGCAGCTGTAGCCCTCAGTCCCGCATCACTCACACACCCGCCGTGTGTCTCCGGCAGGCACCGGCAACACCAACGCCGACGGCGCCTACAAGCCGTCGTTCCTGACCGATCAGGAGCTGAAGCACCTGATCCTGGAGGCGGCCGACGGCTTCCTGTTCGTGGTGGCCTGCGACACGGGCCGCATCATCTACGTCTCGGACTCGGTCACGCCCGTGCTCAACCAGAGCCAGGCCGACTGGTTCGGCGCCACCATCTTCGACATGCTGCACCACGAGGACGTGGAGAAGGTGGGCGGCCCGTGGCGTCCGCCGCCAGGCCTCCTCGGAGGCCGAGCTGCTCGGCCACCTAACCGGACCCGACCTGACCTCAGACGTGGTCATGGCTGCGGTCCGCTGCTGGCTGACACACTCCCGAGTAGAGTGTGTGCTGTCTGTCTGGCGGGTGCTGTGGATTGGCTGTTTAGAAGCAGCGTGTTTGGTCTGTGTGATGGAAGAGGAGGGGAGGGCGGGAGTCGCGGTCCTATGGCGGTTTTCGCCTAGCATGGCACGCCATTGTCCCCCACTCGTGTGTACACTGCGGAGCAATGCGATAAACTTTGTGTCTGCGCCTGGTGAAGACAGGCTTGCCCAGCTCGCACACATGTGGCGAGCAAAACAAAACTGGATATTGGCTGACAGTTGTTTTGAACATGCAGCCGTGGAGGGATGTCCCCAGTTGTCTTCCGGCCGTCAGAACCGTTTGTTCACTCAAGACGTTGTTGTTCAGGAAGACCGTTTTCGGGGGGCAACACGTCCAGTAAACCTTTGTCGGAAAGTCATTTAAATACCCGGACGTTTATCTTCCTTTCTTTTGCTTGCCGTGGACGCATCTAATTTGTGTAACGTCGGCTGTGTATTCGTCTAATTGGTTGTCGTTTGTTCGGCACGTTTTACATTCTTATCAAGCAACGCCGAGTGCCTGTTAGCCATGAAACTTACATGCTTTGTTCTGGGCTGTTTGAATGCTAGAGCTTTTGGTTTAAATGCCAAAAAGTTGAGTCATCCTCTGTAAAGCCTTTGTGTCCGATCGTTGATGTCGACCGCTGTCAGCACGCCAGCTGACCTGAGCTGACCTGCCCCGACTGTCCTGACCTGACCTGAGCTGACCTGACCTGACCTGACCCGACTGTCCTGACCTGAGCTGACCTGACCTGCCCTGACTGTCCTGCCCTGACCTGACCTGAGCTGCCCCGACTTCCTGCCCTGACCTGACCCGAGCTGACCTACCCCGACTGTCCGTGGTCAACAGGTGCGCGAGCAGCTGAGCACCCAGGACACGCAAGGCAGCGGCCGGATACTGGACCTGAAGACCGGCACCGTCAAGAAGGAGGGACACCAGTGTGAGTACCTCTCAGCGGGGAAACGTTTGGTGCACCTGCCCGGCGGCATCTGCTGGTGTCACGCGAATATAAGTTATTCTGCACCGGCCAAGAGATGCGTAGACACCGGTGGAAAGGCGAAGAGGCTCCGCTCCTTCTGTCCGACTGCGAAGTCGCCATCAGATGTCTAGCGACCATCTGTCCACAGTGCGCTGGTCATCCCCTGGCACCTGGACTGGTCTGAAACGGTACTTGGTCGGCGGATGTTGAGGTAGCGCCGGTGGGAATGTTGCGATGACCCTTGACCCAGACCGTGGAGCGCGGCGACAACAAAGAGCCGGCTTTGTTCCTGTTCCTGGGGAGCTGTCTTTCGCTGGAACATCCCTTCCTCGAAACGGCCTGCCGTCCAAATACGGGCCATTGCAGATTGGGCCGGCGGACATGCTGGACCGGTTGCCGAGAGCCCCTGTGGTCCCGGGCGGCGGAAGGGAGGCATCAGTCGCGTCATGGCCCGCTCACGCAATAGAAGGGCGGTGCGGCCCGAGCGCTCAGCGCTCCGACACGCCACCAAGCTCGGGTCACAAGCGCCAGTCCCGTAACTCCCGCCGTCCCGCGTCGTGCCCTTCCGACGCCCACCGCCTCCGGTGGTCTCCCGCCGCTGCCCGTTGCCTTTCGCCGCTGCCCGTGTCCTCCTGCCGCTGCCCGTGGCCTCCTGCCGCTGTCCGTCGATTCCTGCCGCTGTCCGTGGCCTCTCGCCGCTGCTCATAGCCTCCCGCCGCTCCCCGAGGCCTCCCGCCACCGCCCGAGGCTTCCCGCCGCTGCCCGAACCCTCCCGCCGCAGCCCGAACCCTCCGCCTCTGGTGGCGCCGGAGCCACAGCCGGGCGATTGAGACGCGACGACGGCGGCGGCCCAGGAAGCGGCCGCCGATCGACGCTCGCCCTAATGACGGCCGGCCGGCGGCACGCAACTGTCGCCGCCCGCCAGCGACGCAAACAGCGGCCGCCGGCAAAAAGCGGCGTAATGGCAGGCGCCCGTGCCGGCCGACGACGGCCCCACCCGCCGCCGCCGCCGCCGCCGGCCGCCGTCGATTGATGAGTGCCGGCGACGGCGCCGACGGACGGCCGGTTTTTACGGCCGCGGCGCTCTGTTTTTGTGAGACGCGGCAATAGGCCGCGAATCGCCGCGCTTTAATTTCGCTGCTGTGAGCGAGCGCGCCGCCGCGCCGACCGGTTTGGCGCGGCGGCAAAAAGGCGGGAGCTTGATGGCGACTCCTCAAGGCGCGCTTCTGAGCTGTAGTTTCGGTGGGTGATCGGCCGGCTCCACTGCTCGGCGTCGCGACATCAACACGCGCGGCGCAAACATGCATGCTTGCACTGCATTGGCCGAGCCGACGACGGGCCCGTCCGGGCCGCGTGTCCGGGCGCGTTGGCTCACCTGACGTGTTGCCGGCGCCGTTTCAGCGACGATGCGGCTCTGCATGGGCTCGAGGCGGGGCTTCATCACGCGCATGAAGATCGGCAACGTGCAGCCGGACAACATGATGTCGGCCCACCTGAACCGGCTGCGCGGCCGCAACTCGTTGGGCGCCGGCGCCGACGGCAACAACTACGCCGTCGTCCACTGCACCGGCTACATCAAGAACTGGCCGCCCACCGGTACGTCCCGGGTTGTGGGGGTGAGGATGGCGGGGGGGGGGGGGGTTCGAACGGGGGCAGAAGACCTGGCAGAGGTGAACCGACGCCTGGCAGTGGAACTCCTTAAGCTTTGGTAGACGCCCTGCGTGGCGACGTCAATGAGAGATAGAGAAAGAAAGAAGAGAGGACATTTGCAGGGAAGGAGGGATCAATCTGCGAATGGAGAGGGGTAAAAGTGATGTCAGGAGCTTCTGAGGAGAGTTCACCGCGAGAAGGGGTACGCCAGAGAGGCTGTCGACTGAGGACCCGCGTCAGCCCCAGGTGAGGCGCGCCATAGCTCCGCGAAATTACGGCCACGCGGTCGTGCCTTTGGAACGCGCAATGTTAATTCGCAGTACCATTGTGCGGGGAATCGATGTGTACTTCCGTGCTGGCGGCCTCAGCCCTGCGGCTTTGTGCCAGCGTCACAGTTATAGTAGAAAGCGGGGGTCTTAACCACCGACACTATATCAAGTTGACAAGAACGGCCCGAGATAATGGCGTTCGCTAATCGCTAATCGATCTCGTCAATCATGTCACGAAATGCGCCGGTGACTGCTGAGACGAGCCCTTTTATCACTGGGACTTGCGCAGGTGGCGAGGGAGTGTGCGGTTGGGAATGCTGGCGAAATAACGATCTCGCTCCGCGCGGCTTCCGTCACGTTGTGCCAGTCTTCGGGAAAAAGACAATTTGCTGTGGCGTATGCACTTTATAAAGCTGTTGTATTGTGTCATTTCCTTGTATAGGCTGACTTATTGTGTCATCAGTTTGCGGGGATCAAAATATTAAAACACGAACAGCCGACGGATTCCTGCAGCTCAGTGTTAGCGAGCTCTGTCACCAACAGCAGTGTGAACCTCCTACCACGCACGGGCGAACTCCCTTCCACCGGCAATCAGAGCGCGTGGAGATGAGCGGGGCCTGTGCGCAGCGCGCGTTAGTGCTGTGTCTCTACGCGGCGCGGCGTGGCGGCGGTGTCCGGGGACTGCCCGACAGCTGTTCGGTGCGGTGCAGTGCTCGCACGACCCTGCGCGGCCCGAGCGCGGCGGTGAGCGCCCGGGGCTCCGGTCACGGGGCCCGTGTCTCGCGCCGCGCCGCGGCCGATGGACGGCGGTCGGCCGGTGTCCGCCGGCCGCCGGGTACCGGCCGCCGGGCCGGGCCGGCGCCAGTGTCCGGTGCCATAGCCGGCCGCCGGGTACTGGCCGCCGGGCCGGGCCGGCGTCAGTGTCGGTGCCATAGCCGGCCGCCGACCGCCGGCCGCCGCGAACGCCGGCTGAGTAGCCGCCATCCGCGCCGGAGGAGGCGGAGGCGGCCTGAACCGGCACACGGGCGCCCGGCCGCAGATAGCACACAATTGGCGGCGGCTATCGGCGATCGCGGCGGTGTCGGCGCCGCTTTTTTTCGCCGGCGCGCCGCTATCGGCGCCGATCGGGACTGCAGCGGCCGGCCGGCTGCAGCCGCCGGGACCCTCCGTTCATCCCGGTGCCGGTCTCCGTGCCCTGGCAGCGGCACCGTACTCAGCGGTGTGGGCGCTGTGGGGGCGGAGCGGGTGTCGAGCGGCGGGGCGACCCGCGCCGGCAGCAGGCCCACGTCTGGGTCAGTCTGCCGGCTCGAGGCGGCGCCGCAGCACTGGGCGGCCACCGTGGGCTTCCCACCAGCGGGCGGCGCCGCTGCGTTCACTGGGGACGCCCGTACGTCCGCTCCGTGCCGTGGGAAACCGGTGCGCGCGTGCTGCAGGCAAACGCCATGTCGGATCGCCCTTTTGTACGTTACGCCGTTGTGCCGTTTTGATAGAAGCGCTCGGACCCCGTTGCATATGTGTGGTGAAAACTTCCCACGTTTACGAAATGTGTTCCGTGTTTCTCGTGCGGAAAGTCTGGAGCGTACAGCGCAGCTCCCTATCCGAGTGGCAAAGTACTAGCACTAGGAGTAGATTTCTCACCATCGTGCGAAGCCAGTCGTCGTATGATGCTCCGATGCTCGCCGGGTGGGCAAGTGGACCACCGCTGATATTACTGCCGTTTTCGTGGCCATTTAAGGCGTGTTGCTCACGCCGTCACGCTGAAGTGAGGCGTCGGCGGTCTGGATGTCTCTGTCGCCCACGTGTTGCTCTTGATGGCGATATGTCACACCGCACAGTCTCACGGCTTTTTCGCTCCGAATACCATCATTTCTGTGTGATGGCGATGACGAGCGGCAGACTCCAGCTCACCGTCGGGTGGCGTTTCCGACTCGCCCGACATCGCTGGTGCGGGAACGGTGCGGCCCGACAGGCGGAGGGGGGGGGGCGGGGGGGGGAGCCTAACGCGCTTGCCGCGGGAGCTATCCGCCCGCTGTCGACGCCCGGCAGCGGCGCTTTCTGCGCGACGGGAGCGGGCACCCGCTGTCGTCGCGCCGCGCCCTTTCAACACCCGGCAGCGTTCCGTGCCGTGATCTCCGCCACCGCCGCGCTGACCGCTGCCGCGGCATGGCTGCACGATAGCGGCCGTCCACGCCGGCCGGCTCAGCGGCACGGCAAGAGCGCGCCGCCGATGGCCGGGGTCATTGCTACGATTAGGCCGAGATCCGGCGTGGGGCCGCGTGACGCCGCGTCCGGCAGCCGGGCCCAGCCTGGTGAGAACGCCGCATTTTTCTGCGGCCGGACGTCACGCCAGCGGCCGTGTGTTGACCTGCCGGCGCCGGCTGAGGCCGAGGCGGGGGTGCCGTCGGTGACGGGGCGTGGTCCGGCGCCGGACGAGGCCCCCCGCCGACAGCCCCGGCGGGACCTGTTAGCCTTTAGCGACCGGCCGGGCGCCACCGTTCTCGGCGGGCTCTTTAATCGGACGCGGCGACGCCGGCCGGGCCGTAGCCGGCGCATCACCAGATTGGCGCGGCTGGCCGGAAGGTTTACGAGGCTGCCGGAGCGTCGGCCGCGCTCGTCGGCCCGCCCCGGAGTGGGCCACGGCGGCGGCGGGTGGCCGGGTCCGCGCGCGGCGCCCCACCGCCCGTCAGCGGGCTGGGGGGTCCGCGCGCAACTGGCGGCGGCGCGGCCCCGCCCCGCCCCGCCCCGGTCCGGCCGAGCCATGCACCGCCCGGATCCGTGCCGTTTTTATGTGAGGTGTAAGAGAGCTGGCCGTGTTACGGCCCGAGCGTGCCGGAGCGGGCCGGTGAGCGTGCAGCGTTTAGCCGGGATTGTCGGCTCCGCGGTCGAACCGGCGTCGGAGACGCCCTTCGTCTTCAGATGTACGTAATCAACGCCAGGCCTTTTTCGATGCGGCTTCGCTGCGTTTCCAGCTTGCAAGGATTGCCAAATGCTGTTGATTTTTACAGATGCCGTTGGTCGGCCGGCCTTTGTGAAGTTAAAATCTGACTGTGGTGATAAGATCTTATAAGGGTTAGCTTTATTACTTCCGATGATTTTTGCATTTTGCTCCGACTGATAGGCTTCACCTTATTTAATTTTTAACGCGGCCGGCGCGCGCCCATTTTTTGTTTGCCAACGGTTGGTTGCATTGTTCAATTCCACGTGTGACGTGTACTAAACACGGGCACGTCCTTGGATCGGTTCGTGGCGAGCTCATTGAATTTTCATGATTGGTTTAGCACACACACGAATGGAAATTGATTGGTACGTGTGATTAGTAACAACGAAGATAGAATTGTGCGCCCATAGACAAAGCCCATTGTTACGCGATCGAATCAGTTCCCAGAAACGTTTCTTCGCGTGAATTGTTTAAAACGGTTCTGACGTTAGATCGTGAAGGAGTTTGAAGCATTCACGATAAGAAATACGTAATTGATACCCCGCCACTCCCAACACCGTTCTCAGCATCAGTACCCTAGCATCAGTCGTGTACCTACCATCAGTCACCGCGCGCGGCTCGTGCCGTCATTGCCCTGCTCTCTGCATTGGAGCGTGTCTGGGTGAAGCCCTGCAGGCTCAGCGGAACGCCCGCATCGCTCCATCGGATGGGCGAGGGCCGTCCGAGCGGCGACTGGCGTGTGACATCTGACGTCTGCCCCGCGGGCGGGCGGCCTCCGGATGGACGAGGATCGTCCGAGCGGCGATCGACGCGTGACATCTGACGTCTGCCCGGCCGGCGGCCGTCCTCCTAACAGTGCCGACTGCGGACTCGGCGGCGGCCAGCCGGGCCGTCGGACCTGCCGCCCCCGCACGGTCCGCGTGACCTCCCCGTCCCCAGGAGGGCGAGGGGAGGGGGCAGCAGAGCCGGAGCGGATGCCGACCTGAGCGGCGGGTGGCGCCGGGGGACCGCCGCAGGCAGACGGGCCCAGGCAACCACCGCCGGCCGGGGGCGCGCTGATTAGTTCCGACGACGATATGCCTCTGTTGCTGCCGGCTGTCGGGCTCGTCTTCTTACGAGCTTGCTGTCGTGTAGTTGTTTTTCGTTAGTTTTACTGTGCTCAGTGACCCAGCTGGCCAAGGACATGGAATTCTAAGCCACTGCTGAAAAGTGTGACAACGCGCGGTGACGATAAAAAACAGAATTTTTACACCCGCTGCGACATGTATGTAGTAATTTGTTCTGACCTGGGCGCCGCACGTTCCGCAAATTGTACACAATATGAAATGTTTCATGACTGCATCCACTAAGTGGTTGCATGCGCCATAAGTTCTCCGGTATTTTGGGACCCAAAGCGCTTTATGACTTAAGCCGTTCCAAATTGGTTATGTGAATTGCAGGTGGGCTGTTCATGATCTCCTCCACACCTGTCTCCTCTGGAACAAAGCTGTTCCCTAGTGGATTAATTGGGCGAGTTTGAACGTTCATAAAGATTTGCAACTCCCCAGACATTGGTTGGCTCGAAGTGGCTGCTGTTGCACTGTTAAAAGATGGTACTCGTTTTGGGGGTCTGGGTGTTGTACCGCACGTGCTGTCACCATGGTGTACGAGGTCCGGCCGCCGGTGTTCCTGCCATCAGCGCTGTGTCACTGGGTGGGTTTGTACAGGGGCGGGCCTCCCTGGGCTGAGAGCGAGCATTTGAGCCCGTCTGATTTGCCAGATTTCCAAGGTATCCAACTGGAGCGGGTGGACGACGAGGTGATGGGCAGCTCGCACTGCTGCATGGTTGCCATTGGCCGACTCCAGATCACCTCGGTGCCCAGCGCCAGCGAGCTCACCAACGCCAGCAACAGCAACGGTCAGTGGTGAACGACACCGGGCCGCGGTCAGTACGGCAGGGCCGGTGATGACGTCACTGGTCTGTCAGCGAGCGAGCGGCGTCCTCACCAGGCCACGGTCAGTACGGCAGGGCCGGTGGTGACGTCACTGGTCTGTCAGCGAGCGTCCTCACCGGGTCACGGTTAGTGCGGCAGGGCCGGTGGTAACGTCACTGGTCTGTCAGCGAGCAAGCGGCGTCCTCACCGGGCCACGGTCAGTGCGGTAGGGCCGGTGGTGACGTCACTGGTCCGCGCCGGCGAGCGCACCAATAGCAGCAATGGTCAGTGGCGCCACGCATCGCGCAGTACGCGGCGAGCCTGACGGCTAGTGGTTGTGACGCACTTTTGTCACCTGGTGCTAGTAATCGGCGCGCTGCCCATTTGAGCGCGGCACCCGCGCGGCCCAGTGGACCGCCTGGCTTTCGTGCTTCATCGCGGCACGGTGTTGTTCCATGACAGCCCTAGCCTGGCGGCAGGAGGCCTGGTATTTCGGCACTAACGACTACCGTCGCGGAGGTGTGTCATGTCGTCCGCCCCGTGCGCGGAGCGTGGCACCGCCGGCGGGTGTTCACTGCCTGACCCGAGCCGCCTGTACGCGGCTGGCGGCGGGCGACGAGCGGCGAGCGGCGTCCCGCTCCCCGCCGTCCGGACCTCCGTGACCTCCCGTCCACGGCCGGCAGAGTTCGTCAGCCGTCACGGTATGGACGGCAAGTTCTCGTTCGTCGACCAGCGCTGCCTCAACCTGGTGGGCTACACGCCGCCCGAGCTGCTTGGCAAGCTCTGTTTCGACTTCATCCACCCTGAGGAGCTGGCCAACGTTAAGGAGAACTTCGAGCAGGGTCAGTGACGGCGCCGGCCGGGGTGCGCTGCTGGGACGAGCTGTCCTCTCCATCGTCCGTGATTACTTGAAGGCTTCGTCGCTCAGGTGCATACGCTTTATTGGATCGTGGTCACGGTACGCCTCCAAAGCGGTTCCTGCTATATACTGATAAGGCAGGTTTTGTCCTATTTGAGGCGTTGCTATGTTGTTATGCTGCTTGCATGTACGGTTGCAATGTGTGAATTCTCCGTGCCTGACGCTCGGTGTCGACCGTTTCCAGTGATAAAGATGAAGGGCCAAGTGATGAGCATTATGTACCGGTTCCGGTCGAAGAGCCGCGAGTGGGTCTGGCTGCGCACGTCCGCCTTCGCCTTCCTCAACCCGTACACGGACGACATCGAGTACATCGTGTGCACCAACACGTCCGTGAAGGCGGTGGGCGGCGGCGGCGCGACGGCCGGCGCCGAGCCCGAGCACGCGGCCGACCCGTACGGCCACCCGCCGGGGCTGGACTACTCGATGCAGCGGTACCAGCACATGGCACACGTGCAGTCGGCGCAGCGTCCGAGCAGCACGCAGACGGCGTACAGCTACGACGCCACGCAGAGCCCGCTGGGCTACTCGCCGGTGCCGGCCGGCGGCGGCCGCGGCCTGCAGCAGTACAGCCAGATGTCGCCGGCCCGCTCGCCGGGCGGCGCCGCCGGCTACGCGCCGCCGCGGCCGGCGCTCACGCCCGGCCAGTACCCGGCGTCGAGCGGCGCGCCGGCCGCCGCCGCCGGCCTCTGGTACCCGGCCGACGCCGGCGCGGCCGGCGGCGCCGGCGCCGGCAGCCCGGCCGTGTCGGCGGCGGCGGCCGGCGCCCCCGGCGCGCCCGGCCAGCCGCAGCAGGAGATCTCCGACATGCTCCAGATGCACGACCAGCCCGCCGCCGGCTTCGAGGATCTCAACATGTTCAACTCGACCTTCGAGTGAGCACCCGCGACCCCGCGAGGGGACGCGCGCGTCGGCCACCCCGGCCGCGGCCTCGCATATCAGTGACGAGCGGCCGGCGACGGCGGCGCGGGCCCCAAACAAATATCTCATGCATTTCATACTACTTAATAGAGGTCAGATGCCTAGGTACTAACCGGAAAGCAAGTGTTTTTGTATGGCAAAGTGTATTGTTTGGTCCCAGATGCCAAACATGCCCACGTGTCACAAAGTTTTAAATATGCATGTGTTGCGCGTTTGTGCAAATGCGTATGTACGCGCGTATGTCTGCATAGCTAGGTAATTCTTACTCCAGTAAGACGTGTTTTGACAAACTGTGACATTTCTTAAGGGAGGCCCTACGGCACATTTTTAGAAACCATTGGTTGAAGGTGAAATTGAATGAATCTCATCGACGAACAAACGCCTGTGTAGCATGTAGAAGCACCATGTGAGTTTAGGCTGGTGTACAGCTATTCCCATCCTGTTGCGACCTTTTTGGGCCGCTTATCTAGGAAGATTGAAATTCCGCAACCAAGTTGCCCTACTTATGATTTGTTTTTGTTACGTCTGCGCCGTGTTTATAGTTATCTATTTTTGACGGCGTTCCTCTGGAGGGGGTTGGACTCTGAGCGGCTCGTGCGCAGCTCGTGTCGACCCCCCGTCAGCTATCCTCCGTCTCCGGAGCACCCTGCGACGCGGCGGCGTCACCTGGACACAGTGCCCGCGTACTGGAATACATACACTAGGTGTCAGCGCCGACTTGTCTTTGTGGGCAGCTGTCTCCGGATAGTGAGATGCCTGCTGATAGACCAGTGACGTCACTGGGAGGAGCGGCGTACTCAGCGGGCGAGGTCCATCGGTCGGGTCGGCACATGGAAGTTGGACTGTGTGGACTCAGAACGCTGACTTGTGCGGCAGCGCAATTTTATGCCCCTCCCCCCCGTCAACATGAGTTCTGAAAGATCAGTTGGTTGGAGCGCACGCCTTCCTTTTCACCCATCCATAGCGGGGAGAGTTGGAATCACCCCAGACGCTCGCTATTTGCCCCCCCCCCCCCCCCATCGGGATGACGTGCGGTCAGTGACAGCGGCCACGCTTAAGGTCAGATGACGTCAGACGAGCAGGATGGGCCGTGCCGGGCATTGCGGCACGCTAAGCTTCCGCCGCAATATTCAGCCGTTGACCCGGAATCTCACGATAGGATGGCGCTCAGGTATCACGCAACGAGCCATGCTCAGTGAGGGCGCCGATCTCACAAATCCATCCAGTTACAAGACTCAAGCTAAACCCGTGAAACAAAAATGTCCGAGGGATCCTGATGCCGCATTTAGCGCACCAGACAGGTGAGTGACAGCTTTGGCCCCGCCTGGCATTGCCGGGTTGGGGGTGACATTTCTGTGATCGCGCCCCGAACAGGCGCGTCCCTGCTCGGCGCAATTACAACGATCTATTGCTGACGGGATAGCTACCAGATGTATATCATCTATCAGTGCAACGGCCGACGTGAGGTGTGCGTGGTAGGGAAACCATGGCGGCGACCCCGCTGACCACCTCCCAAACGCGGTGCGTGATTTTCGCGATGCTATTAAGTCGTTGAACTCCACTGTTTTTGATTTGGTCTATTCCGTTTGAGTCCAAGGTAATTTACCAACATTCAAAGGGTAATTCGCCAGCTTCAGGACGAAGCTCGTCATCGTTGCGCGTCGGGTTAAACTGCGACGGACACGTACCTGTCCGTGCAGCATTCCAATGGCACCAGCCTGGGCGTCGGGTCGAGCGTAGGAGCGCAGACTGTATCCGGTGAAGGTGTTCTGTTAGGGGGGCAGATCAAGGACGTACCACCTCGTGAGTTTATTGCACCTTTGATGAGCATTTGCCAAGTTTATATATCACAGTCATACGCCCCATGCCGCATGGAAGGATCTGTCACGCGGCGGAATATCACCCGATTCAACACCAGAAGCGTGTCCCCCACAGTCCACGATAGCCCCCCATGTACATAGTCACACACGTCCCGGACGGGCGCACAGCTCCCGCCGCTGCGCCCGCCCCCCCCCCCCCCCCCGCGCCACGGTGCCGGAGTCACGCGGGGGTCCGTCAGCCGGCAGCAGTCAGTTTGAGAGCCGGGCTGGAACCGTGCACGAGTCCACCAGCCGGCAGCGGTCAGTTTGAGAGCCGGGCTGGAGCCGCGCGCGAGTCCACCAGCCGGCAGCGGTCAGTCTGAGAGCCGGGCTGGAACCGTGCACGAGTCCACCAGCCGGCAGCGGTCAGTTTGAGAGCCAGTCTGAAGCCGCGCGCGAGTCCACCAGCCGGCAACGGTCAGTCTGAGAGCCGGGCTGGAGCCGCGCGCAAGTCCGTCAGCCGGCAGCGGTCAGTCTGAGAGTGGGTCTGGAGCCGCGCGCGCGTCCGCCAGCCGGCAGCGGTCAGTTTGAGAGCCGGGCTGGAACCGTGCACGAGTCCACCAGCCGGCAGCGGTCAGTCTGAGAGTGGGTCTGGAGCCGCGCGCGGGTCCGCCAGCCGGCAGCGGTCAGTTTGAGAGCCGGGCTGGAACCGTGCACGAGTCCACCAGCCGGCAGCGGTCAGTTTGAGAGCCTGGCTGAGCCGGCAGCGGTCAGTTTGAGAGTGGGTCTGGAGCCGCGCGCGGGTCCACCAGCCGGCAGCGGTCAGTTTGAGAGCAGGCTATCGTGCCGGGCCAGCTGGCGAGCGACGTAGTCCAGATGGGGCCCGGCCAGCTCCCTGGCCGCGGCCTGCATCACGGGCGCCATCTGCTGGCACTGCTCCGGGCTCATCTCGGCCAGAGGCTGACCCGTCCACTGGGCCATCACCTGCAGATAGTCAGCGTCAGCAGGGGAGGGTTTGTGGGTGATACCCCCAATTTTCGAGAATGCTGAACATTGACCATGTGGCGACGGATGACAAGAACTGACTACAAGACTTGTGTCGGCAAACTTTGTGAAAGCTACTGCCAGTGCCATCTACACTCACACACCGGCCACCGGCCAAGAAGCGCGACCAGAGTGGGAGAACCCAATCGTTTCGTGTTTACTTGGGTGTATTTACTTGCGCCATGCAGGCTCTCTCCAAGTAGTACGTGCTGTCAAAAGCCTCAGCAACCGTTTCTGCTACCACCAGGACGCCGTGATTTCCCATGAACAGCACGGCGGCATCACCTGCACAGACGAATAGTTCGTCAGGGGCCGGACCACGAGAAGCGAGCCAAGAACCGTGAAGCGAGCCAGAACCGTGAAGACGGGTAGAGGGCGCTGCGTCGGACCAGACCGCGGGAGAGCGGCAAACAGGCGACCCCAGTCCTACCCAGGTCTGCCGCCTCTACCATCCACAGAGCCCAGCGCAAAGTGCATCGCCACAGATCACCGAAACCGTGCCGCACCACAGGCCCCACCTGGGCCGACGAATTACACCCGCCGGGCCTCACGCCCAAAATGTCGTCACCAGGACCCTGAGACCTGGCCCGCGCGACCTTGCGCCTGATCAGAGATGGCCTGAACCGGCGGACCTGACCCCGTGGCCGGTGGGGGTCAGCCGCGCCGGCGAGGCTCACCGAGCTTCCGCCCGAGCCGCTGCCCTTCGGCCAGCGCCGTGGCCAGACCGGCGTACTCCGTGTCGTAGCTGACCCGCTGGTGGAAGCGCAGGCTGTTCTGGTGCACCATGCGCAGGCGCGGATCCTTCAGACACGCTGCGGCACACGCGCACCACTGAGCCACCCGCTGCCCTCACGGTCGACCATGCACGGCTGCGGGGGACCCGACTTCCCAGCATTGAGTTTCGATGGATCGTAATGTCGAGATTCGCTTCAAACCCCAGGTCACCGACACGACAGCGACAGGTCCAGCTGTGCAGACACACGAAATCACGCCTCACTTCCTCCAACACCTGCTTCGTTTCGTGCTCTACCTGACCCATCGCAGCAGCCCTCTCCCTTCTAAAGAACGCCCCACGGGACCGGGACCGGAGCCGTACCCAGGGCCGTGGCGTACGGCATGTGGGTGTGGAAGACACAGCTGGTGCGCGGCCCGGGCCGGCTCTGGCGCAGGCCCAGGTGGATGGAGAAGGCGCTCAGCTCCGGCTGGCCGACACCCTCCACCACCTCTCCATCCAGGTTGAGCCCCAGCAGCGACTCCGGCGTGACCTGAGGGCGCCAAGGCCATGGCGCTCACCGACGCCGCCGGGCGAAACATGGCTGCGGGTCGGACCGCGGGATCCCGAATCAGCGAGATAGTGGAAGTGAAAGAAGCAGGTAAATTCGCTTCAACAGCACTGGAACAAGAAGCGACCATCATCCTAACATTTGTGCATCATCCGCAGATCGCTCTAAGTCAGATCTAGGCACCCCTGTAAGCCCAAATAACTGCGAGCTACGCATCAACTGCGGCGACAAAATCGCACAGTATAACCCGAAGCCCCCTCCTCAGCCATCGGTTACCAGCGGGAGTTACCGGCCCCTGCCGGCGGCGCGCAACGGTGGTGTACCTCGCCGAACCCCTGGTGGAATGGGGCCAGCAGCATGACCTGGCCCTGGCCACTGCGTGCCGGCGCCAGCGCACTCAGGTGATTACAGATGCCCTCATTCAGGTGGAGCCGGTCGAGGGCGCGGTGCGAGGCGGCCAGGTCCCGGCGCACCGCGGCGTTCTCGGCGGCCGCCCCTGCCGTGGACAGGTGGCGCTGCAGGCGCCCGGTGGCGCCGACGGCCGCCCGACCATACTGCTAGCAGCAGGGAGACATCTCAGGCCAGCAGACCAAAATACAGGTTTTGAACAACACCCCCTCAACAAAACCACTGCATGTTTTCACTGCACTGTTGATAAAGATTGCAGACAACCCTGGACATGTCTGGTCAAAGCTAAACCACACATCATGCAGAACTGTAGGATGATACCTGAACTTCAGGTACCATATTGCAGGCAAGCCATAACATGACTGATCTAAAAATTGTTACAGCTTGCCTATGCTGGCACATAGATGTGTGCTGTGTATACCTATGCAGGTTACATGTAACTATACACCTATGCATGTTGCATATCTCTGAACCAACACAGATTTGGGGCAGTCTTGATTCCACCTCAAGGGGATATGTGGCTGTGCCCCAGTAGGATGGGGCATTAAAACATGCATGCGGAAGTTCATGGATCACAGGATTCACAAAAAATACATGAGGCAGATCTTACAGATATATTATACCTTAGTGCTCAGGCTTAAGCAATACCCAGGCCTAACCTATGCAAGATTATACCCAAGCAGAATCATTTCTGACTCTAACTCATTGCTTTGGGTGGATTGCTACTATTCCAAGCAGATCAGTTCAATTTTGATCCAGTTTCAATTCCAGCTCATTGAGACCTGTGGCTTGATTTCATAACTGATTTTGATGAACTTGATTATGGTGGTGGGAATTCAGGAGGTAGGTGCCCAACAAAACCTGAACAGGGTACTCATCTTTATAACAATATAGCTACATTCAACTTAGACTTAGTGTACATACAATCTACATTAGACCAGCTTTATGCATATCCTACCACCTAGTACCACATCTATATTTTGATCAACTCAGTGCTAACCCAGCTCACCCAATACACCACATACACCTGACGCATTTATATTTTAGTCAACTTGGCACTGGCCCAGCTGACCCAATCCATTCTGGCTCAGGGAAAGGCATTTGAAAGAAATTAGTTCCAATAATAATTGACCAATTGCATTCAAATCCAATTCCACCCAGATCTGGGTGCAAGCGACCTGGTACAGGCAGCGCGCACCGCTGAGTTAGCTTACAAAGAACATATACGCATGTACATTAACACGCCGTCATCAGATCGGAATATGACGTTACGGAATATGACGTATACACGTACAGCTGAACACCCAATGCTAAGCGTGAACATGTCCTTTTTGTAACCGATAGAGGTCAGCCCAATGTCATGCCTGCGCAAACCGCCGCACCTTGAACAAGGCAAACGCCATGCGCGGCAGCCAGTCGTAGCTACGCAGCACCACCTCGCAGATCCACAGGCGAATCCCCCCCCGGCACGCTGATGGCTCGGGCCCGCGAGCGGGGGTACCATGCATCGAACATAGGCGGCCACGCTGCGGCGCTCTGACAAAGCCACGCTTCTTTGTCGACCGCCAGGTGGCAGATTTTCCCCACGCATTGCAGAGACTGGAAACCAGGACACTTGATGCACAGGGGCTGCGGAAGGCCGGGGGTGATTGGGCAGCCGGGAGGCAGGTGTCAGAGAAATAGTTACTTTATGACCTACACGAGCTAAATCAAGGAGTTAATAACATCGTGAAAACTGTTTGGCAACAATCGATACAATGTTAACAGTGACGAGGTAAGATTATCAGACGTGGTTCTGAGTAACAACTTCAGTAAAGTTAGACTCTTAGCGGGTTATGCCTGGGTTCGAGTCGGGTATATACGCGAGATTGATAACACGGAGCGGAGGTGTCAATTTCTGCAATTGATGGGACACTCCTCTAGAGGCCGCCTTAGAGCACCTGAAGGCACTTCTCTATGGCGGCCGTGGGCGGTGGCACATGTTTTGATTCTGGGGGGGGGGGGGGGGGGGGTAGAGGGATGGAGACGGAATCAGTGTGAAGGTTTTTATTCCTCTGCTCCAGAGCCTTTCAGTGGAACCACCAAGCGTTTGGTATCTTACTGCCCTAATTGTTAAGTCTGTTGCATGGTTATCCGCTTCAGCAGTAATGATTTTACCTGGCAGTGAGAACAAACGCGACTTATTACGAGGGGATGAATGTTTTAATGGTGGTAGGCGCACTACTCTATCAGGCAAACATATGAGTTGTGCCTTACGGGCTGGCAAACATCCGTGTACATTAACGAAACCATTTACTGGGTTTGGGAGCCAATTCGCTTGGCCAAGTTTCGCAACCTACTCCATTTGTCTTTTTCTAATGAATGTGGGGCACAGCGCCTCGTGTAAGGTAGTGCTGCTTTTTTAAGTTTATTTTTCACGTGACTCGCGACATGGGGAATTGGACTGGACCGGAACAAAGCTTATCTTTAACCCCAGGTGCTCCCTCTTCTATTGATGTTTTTTTAAACTTGTCTTATTCAAAGAAACACGCTGTCCCATTTTACAAACCTGACTGCTTCCCTGTTGCATCGGGTTTCTTGGAGCGTTTTTTAAAAGACCCATTAGACCAGACTCATAGACTCACAGACTCATAGCCTCAGTCAAAAGTCGGAATGTTCTCAAGCACAGGTCGGGGGTCATCGTTTAAAGTGGTACATTTGCATACGTCACTATCGGTCTGATGCAAGACCTTCACGAAAATTGCAGCATAACTCCGTCCCTTTCTTACACTCCTGTATTATGCATCCGGCTGCATAGCGGGTAGGATAATGAATAAATGTTTCATTGGATACACGTACGCCCGATGGGATGTTGCGTTCAATGTTATTCTCATCGAAAACGCCCACGGATATCGCTCCCTGAGAAAGATGGTTCCAGGAACCATTAGGAAATTATCCAAGGCATCACATATGGATCCGAATTCTAATAAAGAACAAATCATATCAGCGAAATCGGCCTGAGGGTGGAGCACAGCCATGTGAATTACACCTCAATTCTCACAACGGCCGGCGAGCTCCAGATAGGAGACGTGGGCGGCGATTTGTGGGCCTTGGCAAATGATCACGCGCCACGCACGGGGTGAGGTAAGACGGCCGCCAACCGTCGCCAGACACTGTGTGGTAAGGTGACTTCCCAGGAACGGACAGTAATCAGACACGGGAGTGCTGGCTGGTGGGCACGTGCCTCAGTGACGCTCGCGCGGGGTGGCAAGAGGTGGCGCATTTATGTACGGCGGTATGTAGATAGATACCCACACCGTGTATGCCATCTCGATAATGCGTGGTTAGCCCGGCGCCTGGGTATTCATCCTCAGTCTGATCTCAGAATATTTATGTTTTAGGTGCATAGTTTTCAACAACAAGGCTCCGATCAGTTCGGAACGTGAAACAAGCCTGTCCCGCATCATTGAGCTTATGAATTGCCTTTTTTGGCTTGCAGTTGATTAAAAGGATTGGTGCCCCTGACGATATTTTCAAACTTTTATTTTTTCCCAAAGCGATCGGAAATTTTCGACTGAAACAAATTCACACGCATTGTGTTAATAATGAAGCAGAAGCGTAAGCCAGATCTTTCGCTTTTTAAGCGAAAGATGTGACTCAACGAAGGCTTAATTAAGCGAAACAAAAAACCCAAGGCTGTCGGGTTCGCTTGATTGTTAACTTTTGTGCTGATGATAGGTGATCTTCAATACAATGTTGGTTTTGGCAACTGTAATCGAGACTAGCTTCAGTCACTAGCTTAACCACCCTGTCTTTCTAGAAGCCCTCGCCATAGCACCTTGTATTGGGCGTTAGAACCCGGAAATTTGATAAGTGTGAGTTTGGGAACTATGGAAATGATTTGATTATTGGGATAAATGTTATTGGCATATTTTGTATAGCTGCGACACGTTTCCCGTCTCTCGCGCGTCTAAGCTTTTTTTAAAGTTTCGCTTAACCTTGCCCACTTGTGGCTATGAATAATGCATTAAAACGTAAATAATTGTTTTAGAAGATCCCAGTGTTGTTTAATATGCTCATTTCGCATTTATCTACTGGTATACTTAAGGGCGGCTAGATGCCATCCACGAATTTAATCGCGCATTTTTAATAATTTTTAACACCCTCTTCCTGAGTACGCACTGGTTATGTTGGGCGCAAACACTCCGCACCTATATTACCCTGCTTAAAAACGTTCTTAAAAAATCAGCATGATTTGCAGCCACAATTCAGCGTAACACTGCGTTGTCAAGAGTCCCTCTTCCAAGTTGGCAGTCTCACAAAATGGGGTGGGGTGGGGGAGGCTAAGTAATGAACGAGCATTCTCAGTGTACATCCCAATGCCAGCTTATTCTCTTCATGATATATTTAAGGTCGTCTTTCGTCTTTATCGTCAGCTTAAGCTGATGATGTCGGTTTTTTAAAGTCTTACTCAAATGCAAATCGTCGATAGGCCCAATTGCTGTACCTCATTGGCCGATTACAGCAGCGCAGGGAAGGTCGTCCGGGTCATTGATCCCGACACTTATGTGGATACAAACGAAGCTGAGTAGCATATCTGCCTGTGAAGGAAATCTGCATCTCCGCCGACCTTGTTGACCCCCCGTAATCTTGACTGAACAGTTCACGAAGGGCTTACTACAGAATGAGGTTAAATGCAAGCAATCAGTCTTGCTTCTAGCGTAGATTGGGACGGGGCGGCGATGCGTCTCATTGTTCTCTTCACCGCTTGAGCACCATAACAAATCCGTCAGAAGACCTTGTGTGATTTTTGTGCACCATTCAGCCGCTCTCGGGTGCGGCATTGTTGCGTATCTGGCCCGGCCCGTGGGCCACCCGACTCCCTCCCCAGATCGATACACGTGCCCTGCCCTCTTCCCGACGGGGGATCCGACCCGCTTGCTATTCCACCCCATCCCCCGGCCGGCCTGCCGCCGCGGCCGACCCCGTCGGAGCAGCCCCGGCGGCCTGGCGGGCACCCTGACCTCCCCCGGTGCACCCTCGAGCCGGCGGCGCCGCGGCCGCAGCCGGTACGCTTACACGGAGGCGGCCCCGGTCGGCCCCCGCCCCGCAGCTGCCGCGCACAACTCGGTCCGTCGATGTATTGCATCGTGGCGGGTGGTGGCGGAGCGTGATGCAGGCCGCCCTCCCGAACTGTCCGAACGAACTGAGTGTTTTTCAGCGCCTCCCTCGCGTGGTGTCCGAGGATAGGCAGCGCACTGGTGTAGGTAGCCCTGTGATCCGACGCCGTGCTCCACCGCAAGCACTGTACCCCGCCTGTGGTCTCCGTCACTGCGATGCAAAGCTGTGCTCCGCAGCCATGCTCCACCGCTGTGTTCCGTCGCCGTGCTCCGCCGCTGACCTCCGCCGCCGCTGGCGTGCTCCGCCGGTGTCCCCTTGACGCGCCCCGCGGCCCGCGGCCCGCCGCCCGCCGCCTGGCTGCCGTGTCGTCCGGCCCTGTTTATGAACAAGCGGCGCGTACTCAGGAGGGCTGTTTTTCAAAGTTGACCGTAGTAACGGTTGGCGGGGATGGCTCAATCTGGCGACATATCGGCGATATTGGCGCGGGGCGGGCCGCACACCGCCGCCACCGCGGGCCTCCACCGCCAGTACAAAGCCCCTCTCCGTGGTGCGGGTGCTCCTGGCTGCTGTCACATTTCTAGCTGTCTGGAATATTGCAGAGGGCTTTCATTTTGCTATGTTTGGCATTTTAAGGACGTTGATTTGCGTTTCGACTTGACGGAATAAAGTTATGACGTCTACCCCAAGTGGCCTCCGGATAAGCATCGTGCAGTAAATATAAGCAGCATGGTATAAATATCTGTTATAGCATGACATGTTTATGTGTATAAATCGATTGTGCTGATATTGGTGAGACGACGCAGTCATTTTGTGCATGAATGCGTAAATTATGTACCTTTTTATTGGAGGCTGGAGCGCGAGCCTAATTGATTACGGTTGGAAATGAATGAACTGTTCAGCGAAGTTGCCGCCGACAGTAATACGAAACTAAGCCAAAACAAACAGCAATTATTTACGTTGCATGCTGGTCAATTGACCGTCATTAGTAGTCGGCGCAGGACTGACTTTCTCATGTGCTAACTGAACTCTCCACCTGTTTCTGCCACTTGCCGTGTGTGTCCTTTGTCCAGAGGTTCGCCGCCCGACGCCCGTCTCGGCAGCTGCAAGGCGGCAGCAGATGACGAGCGGCGCCCGTTGCAAAGATTGCAGAGCGTTTCAGGGGAAGAATCGGGATAGTCTTGCATACACACGCAGCTTTCGCCAACGAGATGTTCATTGGTCATTGCATTCCTGGTAGTGGCGGTCAGAAAAAAGGATGGTCCCCTTCTCTTCAGTTGAGAAGATGTGTTGTCTTTTCATTCACGGCGACCGATCAAACCCACTGCGGCAGGGACCCAATGGCTTGTTTCATTTCCGTATAGCAAGCTCCTGTTTGGTCTCGGCCATTGGAACCCGAGTTTGATTCAGACGCCGGTCTCCAGCCAGTCCAGCACAGCTTCCGCACGAGTTCGATTCGGACGCCGGCCTCCAGCCAGTCCGGCACAGCTTCCGCATGAGTTTGATTCGGACGCCGGTCTCCAGCCAGTCCGGCACAGCTTCCGCACGAGTTTGATTCGGACGCCGGTCTCCAGCCAGTCCAGCACACCTTCTGCACGAGTTTGATTCGGAAGCCGGTCTCCGGCCAGTCCGGCACAGCTTCCAAGCTGCACCACATACTGAATAACTCATACGTGACCCGGTTCTAGAGAACACTTCGATGAAGTTGTTCCCGGTGACAGCGATTTCAAGACAAGCCGTTCTATGACCGGTTTCATGCATAGATAACGCCATCCCTAGCGCCATAACCAATAGCGCCATAACGCCATTGCAATCGTATTTTTCAGATACGCATGGATGAATAATGTATTGAAGCTTTGGAAGCTTACATTCAAACAAACAAGACAGGTACACATGATATTCATTGATATAACGTTCACAGTATTCACAAAACAGGTCACTGGCCCGTCCTGCCCAGCATCGTTATCGCATTAAAGTGATCTGCCCATCCAGTGCGATCCACGATCAACCAGCCCGCTATCCACCGCAAGCACTCCGAACCGAATCCCTAAATATGTTTCTCGCTCGCGGACAGCGCGCCATTCCACGATTGTAACAATACTAAGATACAGTGACGGATGCATTTCAACGACGCGAAACACGAATAAGGATTCCCCTGGGCATTCGGAAACCAATTGCCAGAGCCGGTCGCACGCTCTTCTGAAGCCGGCACGCGAGGCGCAGCGACCACACGCAGCTTTCACACGAATAACTTGGAATATCAGAATGCGCGCTGCCCTTCACGGCGCGGTGATCAGCTGAAATACGAAGAAGTTTCCAAACGTAGACGAGACAACGGGTTGATTACGAGCACCGCGCCCCACCGCAGCACGAGCGACTGACGTGAGGCATCACGGCAAAACAGACCGGGCTCGCTAGGGTCCGCCGCCGGCGACGCCTGCGAGCGCTCGCTTCCGGTCATGCCAGCAGCGTCCCGCCGTTATGGAGAAGCCGGCCCAACCTTCCGAGGAGCGTCTCGCGGTCTGAGCCCAGTCCCTCGGCTCCACACCCAGTCCGTCCACGCTGTGCGAACACGCCGCCACGCGGCGGCCCGCGCGCGCCAAGGCGGACGCGGCCATCCGATATCACGCCAACAACGCACCGCTCCAACAACGTACCCGTGGATGGCGGTCCGGCGGCGGCGACCTTGCCGCGACCTTCACAAGCCGAGCCTCACGGCGGCCGCCGTCGCCAGGAGCGACGCCGCGGCGCGCAGCGCGACCCCTGACCCCTTGACGGCCGGGGGCGGCGCCGGCGCGTGCCGGCTCGGCTCGTGCTCGAGCGGCGTCAGGCTGACGGCCGTGTGGCCAGGCTCGTGCGTGCCGGCGGCCGGCGCCGGCGGCCGCGCCTCCTCCTCAGAGCCGCTGTAGGCGATGTCGTCGGTGCCCTGCTCGGCCCGGTGCGGGTCCGGCTCGGACGTCAGACGGATCTCTGCTGCAGAGGACACGCTTGTTACCCCGCCGCGGCCCCCACCACAGCGGCCGCAGTAGGTGGTGCGGGGGACGCAGTTGCTCGGGACACCACAGGGCAGACACCGCGGCTTTATGATGCGACGCCTCATGGTCGTGACGCTCAGTTCTACGGTCAAAGGCTCTGGCCAAATGTCTCGTGAGATTAACGGAAATATTCCCACCGTCGCTAGTCAGTTTCGTGTCGGCCGCCCTGCAGGATTTCGGCAAGGGCGTTTCTTCCAGGACCTCATCTGATTGACATCGGTGGAGATAAAATAAGGACCTTTTTGCAACGCCAGGTTAGTTGTGTTGTGACGAGTGTTGTGACCGAATCTTCCAACGGACCTTCTGGACAAAACGATGTAAAATGTTCCCTCTATGCCGTGCAGTGATTTATGAGCTGGACAGAACGTACCGTACACCTGTATTTCACTCTGCACCTCGCCAATCGAGTTTTTGGCTGTGCAGATGTACTCCCCGGCGTCGGAGACCTCGAAACTTCTGATTGTCAGTTTCATGGTCAGAGAATACTCCGATTCTTTCTCCTCGCTGATGTTGAACTTCCTGCTCTGGATTAGCATTTCACCTGAGGCGAAGCAAGCGTGGCTGCCGTCTCGAGTGAATTATGCAGCTGTCTGCCTAGTTATGGCAGACTTCGCCCATTCACATCGCGGCGGAGTTCGACAATACATCAGCCAATTATCTGGAACATTGCACTATCCAACAGGCATCAAGTGACACCAAAGCGTAAGTTTCTGGTGATGTTCTCCCAGGCGAAAATGATGTATTAAAAAATCCTGTGATAGGTTCAACAAGGCTCAAGCAAACTCACTTCCGTTCCCTATCATCTCATTAATAAGTTAGACCTACTAAGCCGCTGGAAACGACACCCTGATTTCAATAAAACATGACCGAGCTGAACAGCTGGCTGCGCTCTGACGAGGACGGGGACGCACGCCGGCACGGTCTCCAGCCCGGCGCCACAGTCAGCAGCCGGAGACGGAGCACCTCGCTGAGCGATGAGTACTTCACAGAGCGTCACTGACCGGTACCCTTGTTCCAATAATTGATGGACTTGGGCAGCGCCTCCACGTGACAGCTGAGGGTGACGTCAGAGCCGAGCTTCACCCCGTGGAGCTGGTGTCGCACCTGCACCACCGGGTGGACTGTGGACGCAGAGGACCAGTATCAGGCCGGGCAGATGTTGTGACACCTGCAGATGATGTCGCAGATGACAGTGACACCTAGCCGATCCAAAGGACCGCTCCCGGAGCTGCATGGAAAGGCAAGGCTCATTCGAAGCAAGTGACCGCGGTTTCCCGCAAACAATGCGGAAGGCTTCTTCCACGATGTCGTGAGTACGTTCGCGAGAAGCGCGAGCAGTGGCTTTGGAAATACACCGAAGGCGAAACTGTCGCACCAAACCTCACTGTCGCTTCTGCTGCGGCGGCTTGGCTGTTCGGCTCCCTATGGGAGCAGGGCACACCGGCCGCGGCAAAGCGGCGGCAGAGGAACATTAAAGCAGGCGGACAAGTAGAAGGATCCAATGCGATTTGTTTCTGACTGGCGAACCCAGAAGCTTACAGGGTGGGGAAAGACGGCTCTCCCGGCAGAAGCAAGATTAATCTGCTGCCATGATTCGGAGCTCTGCCGGAGTGTTCTAGGGACCGGTCTGCCAACGGTTTCGCGGAAACGACACAGAGCTGTCCGACCGCCTCCGCTTGGTACGCTGTCACATGGATAGCTCTTGTCTACAGCCTCGCCCGGTTTCAGGCCTCACTAAGCTGTAACACAATTGCTGAGCCGATTTGACAAACCACAGGAGAAAGTCGTGTCGCTTGTGATTTCCGTCGTGAACGTAATACAACGAAAGCCGTTCAGCTTCAGCGATCCGTCAAATTCGCCAATCACATAAAAGCAATGCGCCAGGAAAATCTGCCCTGGTTCCGATACATATGCTCGCAGAGAGAGCGACCAAAAACGATGCGCGTTGTATTTGAGCTTTGTAAAATTGGCTTCAGAAGCCATTTCGGTTGAAAAAATGTTACCATCACGCAGTCTTCGCTTCTTATTTCATGGTCATAGCATGGTCCTCTGATTCTGGAAGCGTCGGCAGTCCTATCATACTTATTTTTTGGCAGCTTTAGTCTTTCCGTGCAACATAGCGAGTTCAGACCAGTTCAGTCCAGTTCAGTCCAGTCGAGTAAGTCGGACACAAATGTGATTTGACATTTTTTTCATTCTTGTTTCGGCGGAAATAAAGACAGTGAATACCAAGCCGGAACTGTGACCACAAGAACGTGGAATTTCAACATCGCTGGCATGGCAGTTATTTAATTCCCTTCTACTTTTGTAGCTCGCGGCATACTGACGTTCCACCAAGCGCCCGTTAGATTCACGAAATATAAACTCTTACAGGCGGCGCAACAGGTGTCTGGGCATTTTCTCGTTAATCCCTACCTTTCTTCCTTGGTTTAGCTGTGTGCCCAGGATAACCACGCAGTGGAAGAAGGGGAAAAGGGCGCTGGTCACCATCCAGTATGGTGAGCTGGAAGACGGCGCACTCTCCAGCGATCCAAGATAAATATGAACTTCAACTCCGTATTCCGCCCCTCCAGCCAAATTGGTTTAGGCCGGCGCGGCCGCCAAGCGCTCGGCGACTGTCAGAATTTTAACGCTGTCGACGTGACTGAGCGGCCGCGTCGGGAATTCGCTGCAGTGGGGAGGGGGGGGGGGGGGAGGCACCACCGCCGCCGCCGCCGCCGCCGCCGATGACCCCTGCTGACCTGTTGCGCGTGCGGTCGCACGGCCGGCGGGCATCGCAGGCGCGCTGGCCGACGGGTGGCGCATTAAATTGTCTTGTTTTCTGTCCCGGAATAAGGGTCATCGCCAGAGACAGGGCGAAAGTGTTTGGAAAGAAAACAGATCCGGCGGGCGGCATGGCTGGAATAAAGTCAACAAAGTCGTACGGCCGGGCGGCGGCCGGCGGCCGGCGGCGCCGCCGCATTTCGCAGGCTGCCCCATCAGGGATGAGATAGCTGGGCGGAAGTGGACGTGAGCGGGCGGCGCCCAAACAGCCGCTGGCGCTCGTCATACGGTGGCGGGACGAAGCGGGGCGCGAGCCGCCGGCGGCCGACTCACAGTGCACCTCCACCTTGATGTGCTTGGAGACGCTGGGCGGCAGGCCGTTGCTGGCGATGCAGACGTAGTAGCCGGTGTCCGATCGTCTGACCTTCATCAGCGGCAGCGTCTCGCCCTCGTACTCCGTCACGCGCTCTGCGGAACAGCCGACAGAGGGTGACCGATGGGAGATGGCGCTGCCGCCGGGAAAGAGCGCGGGGCTTACGTGCGGGCGCCTGGCCAGCGTTGCCTCACATCGTTTGAGTCGGAGTGCATGTGTGCACAGCGATCTTCTCGTGCTGGGGAGTGAGTGAGCAGGGATCATGCATACACAACGAAACAATTACCTGTCATTGATGTAGTTGTTCTTAAATTGTCATCTCTCAGCTCCGGCTACAAGTCAGAACTTCGACAAATATTTCAGTTTTTCTGGATATCGGAGCGAAAACGAACCACGTTTATAGACTAACCAATTAATTTACGTAAGTTTGGTTGGACTAGCAGTTGGACAACACCCAGGAGTGTATCAAGTAGTCCCACGGGATGCGTCTCCCCTGTAAAGTTTCTTCATGCGTTCAGTATTTTGCATTAAATTTTGACCACGCTTAGTAAAAGTTGTTTGGAAATGTTGGAAGTCTCCCCAGCACACTTTGGACAGTTTGGAGCGTTAACCGTTTCTTTTGGCTCTTGCTCCCGTTAAGAATGCCGCTCTCTTCACTCGACGCGTCACACTCTTTTTCTTCACTGAGTTTGTCCCGCTCTCATTCGCCATTTTCCATGTATATGTCGGTGACACGCACCCTGTACGCAAACATCATATATCTACTCTCCTTGCGTGACATTGTCTCTAATGGGAGTGTCCGATACTCCCCGTTATGGAAGTGTCGGGCACCTTCCTGATGGGTGCCACTTTCATATCTCTTTGATGGGAGCGTCGCTTGCTCTCCCTGGTGAGCGTGCCACTTATTTTCGCTGGTGGGAGTGTCATTTATTCTCCGTCTCTGGTACACTCATGACTTGCTCTCCCTGGCAAGCGTTTGAGCACTAACTCTCCCTGGCGAGCGTGTGATCGCTCACGCACCCTGGCGAGCGTGTGATCACTTATCCTCCCTGGCGAGCGTGTGATCACTTACCCTCCCTGGCAAGCGTTTGAGCACTAACTCTCCCTGGCGAGCGTGTGATCGCTTACTCACCCTGGCGAGCGTGTGGTCACTTACCCTCCCTGGCGAGCGTGTGAGCACTTACTCTCCATGGCGAGCGTGTGATCACTTACTCACCCTGGCGAGCGTGTGATCACTTACCCTCCCTGGCGAGCGTGTGAGCACTTACTCTCCATGGCGAGCGTGTGAGTACTTACTCTCCCTGGCGAGCGTGTGAGCACTTACTCTCCCTGGCGAGCGTATGAGCACTTACTCTCCCTGGCGAGCGTGTGATCACTTACCCTCCCTGGCGAGCGTGTGAGCACTTACTCTCCATGGCGAGCGTGTGATCACTTACTCACCCTGGCGAGCGTGTGATCACTTACCCTCCCTGGCGAGCGTGTGAGCACTTACTCTCCATGGCGAGCGTATGATTACTTACTCTCCCTGGCGAGCGTGTGAGCACTTACTCTCCCTGGCGAGCGTATGAGCACTTACTCTCCCTGGCGAGCGTGTGATCACTTACCCTCCCTAGCGAGCGTGTGAGCAATTACTCTCCCTAGCGAGTGTGTGAGCACTCACTCTCCCTGGCGAGCGTGCGATCACTAACTCTCTCTAGCGAGCGTGTGAGCACTTACTCTCCCTAGCGAGCGTGTGAGCACTTACTCTCCCCGGCGAGCGTGTGGTCACTTACACTCTGGCGAGCGTGTGAGCACTCACTCTCCCTGGCAAGCGTGTGAGCACTTGCCCTCCCAAGCGAGCGTGTGATCACTTACCCTTCCTGGCGAGCGTGTGAGCACTTACTCTCCCTGGAGAGCGTGTGATCACTTGCATTCTCTGGCGAGCGTGTGAGCACTCACTCTCACTGGCGAGCATGTGATCATTTACTCTCCCTAGCGAGCGTGTGATCACTTACACTCTCTGGCGAGCGTGTGCGCACTTACTCTCCTTGAGCGCGCCGCTGGCGTCGGGCAGGGTGACGGTGAGCCTGCGGCCGTCCTCGCGGCGCCAGATGATGGTGGGCGTCGGATAGCCGCGAGCCCGACACTGCAGCTGCCCGGAGCCGCCCTCCGGGATCGTCAGGTCACCGGACGACTGGTCGCTCAGGATGTCCGGCGGCACCACCACGTTCAGGATGCCGTACTGCGGCAGCGTCACCGGTCAGCAGCTACACGCGCAGCTCGACACCGATGCTGCGACACCCGGCGGCCACCCTTGCAGATTCGGGTTTGGAGACGGCGGCTCCACGTGGAAATAGGGGGTTCGGCTGCCACGCAGGAGGCAGCGCGCAGCGTTGGATCTCGTTCGACCATCAACACGCGCGCATGATCACGCACAGCTAACGCATGGCCCAGCGCTTATTTCTTACAATGACCGTAAACGACACCAGTGGACTATGCCAGGCGCCGCACGCCAATGCTCGACACGCGTTGGGCGGTGCGGCTGTTGCCTCCGCCGTGGAGCGTGTCTGGCCAGTTCAACTCTGGCTCGCCTGTCGGAGACAGCCGCCAGCCCAGCCGTGGAGCCTGTAGCGCGACATGATGTGTGACGACGGGTCGGGGACGGGGCGCCGCAGGACGGGGCGCCGGGCACACGTCGTCATCACCGGAATTAACGCCCGCTTAGTATTCCAGCTACTGGGCGGCCAGGGCGGATTTATGACGCGGTGTCCGAATCAAGCGCTGTATGAATGCTGAAGGAAACTCCAATCTCCAACGGGAGACAAAGCACCCATGGCCTCGCCAATCATAAGTAACTGTGACCGCTCATGGGATCCGATGTTTACAACGGCAGCGCAAGTTAGGAGAACGCTGAGACATTTGTCTTGCCGCTCCGCAAGTGGTTTAACTCAGCCCTGATGCTTCTGTGAGAAATGCGCGTAAATCAATGCAAATGGCGTCTGCAAATATCATGGAGTGTGTATTTGGGCATGGTTTGGTTTAGAGCCCTTCTGGCCAGTACGGCAATTTCAGGACCATGGGATGAAGGAAAGTAGGCAATGGTGTAGCAAAATTACATGCACTCGGTGCTCCATCCACAGGACTTAGCCCGCGCAGGGACTCCCTATACGAACTATGTGCTCGGCGCTCAGATCGGGCTCCCACCAGGGGGCAGTGATGATGCACGCATGGAGCACACATGACTCCGATCCATCGTGCAGCTCAGAATATTCTCAAATTTTCTGTCTGGGTGTTGTAAGACTAAAGCTTAGCTTAAAAAGCTTAAGAGTGCCCACCAAATCCACTATCGTTGACTTTCTGGAAATATTGCGTGAACTAAATGAAGAACGGGCTCATTATATTTTTGGGTATTCTTTAAAGTAGCCAAAACGATGTAGTTTATATGTTACGATTATAACCGTAGCACGTGGGTGGAAAAGTCAAATATAAGGTTGATGAAAGTTTAGGTGTCGACAGAAGTAGTCCCAGCACCATACGTGGAAGCAAAGGAAGTGTGCATGCGAGCGCGACCTGGAAGCGCGTGTGTACTCTAGGTGCGTTCTCCGGTCTCTTTGATTGCTAGTGGTGTCAGCCGTGCCGGCAACGCTCAGTTCATTCGCAATTCCAGTGAAATGAGGCGATGGGTAGGCGACGCCACAGCAAACGGGAAGACCTAGACACATTTTAACTGATGCAGTTAAATCTTCACACAGGATAGACCACGGTAACCCACATAGTCCTGCACGTTGGGTGTCTTTAATTTGTACGGTTTCCGAAATCCTAGGAAGGCATTTTTCTTTCCCTGTTCTAGCGTGGGAGATTTTCAGGACACTTTCAGGATACTTGTTACGAGATCCGGACAACCAAAAATCGTCGTGAAATACATGGTAAGTAGCGACGTGCTGATCTTATTCATTTGGTATCATAAGTTTGCACCTCACATTGGTTATCACGGGAGAAGAGCGTACGATAACGGGTCTTGCATTACGTGAGTGCTTTATCCAGTGTTACAACCGGAGGCAAAGCGCAAGAGTAACAAAATGTTAGTTATGTGGTATTGAGGGGCGTTGAACAGCTGTTTTTGCGATTATGATATTTCTTTGAAAGATTAATTCGGATGTGGTTGTCATTTGACCGCGTTCTGGCGACTGGCGTGCAGAGACAAGAGCACTGGTGCGTTTCATGGCCCCACCGAACCTCGGCTGGTGGCAGCACCAGCTGGTGCCCAGCCTGCGCGCCCCCGTCTCTCCTCAGGCGGGGCGTGCGCTTTTCTGCGAGGGGATGGGCGTAGGCGCGGGACTCGCCGTTGGCAAGCGGTGACCGCGCGGCCGAGGCGTGACTCCGCAGGGAGACGGCGGCGCGTCTCCCAACACGCCCGGCCCCGAGCGGTGACCGCGCGGCCGAGGCGTGACTCCGCAGGGAGACGACGGCGCGTCTCCCATCACGCCCGGCCCCGAGCGGTGACCGCGCGGCCGAGGCGTGACTCCGCAGGGAGACGGCGGCGCGTCTCCCATCACGCCCGGCCCTGAGCGTGCCAGCTGGTCAGCCACGGTTGCGATGGCCAGGCACGGTCGCGATGGCGCAGACTGCCGATGTCGGCCGTGGCGGGGGTGTGCGTGACCATACCGCAGCCAAGTCGTTACAATCTTGAGATAGGGGGCGATAATCACACAATCACACAGTCCTTGAGAATCACATTTTGTACCATATTAAGTACAGGCTGTTTCGTAACACTCAACTATTTGGGTGATAGTATTAGTGGCCCACCAGCTATCATCCTTGCAACTTGCTACTTTTGATAAGCATTTACTAACATGTACCACCACGGTATCAATAACCACAAAGTGCCCACAGCTGTGGGTAATTCATTTATGACCTGTGGGTACTGCGGCCTCGTAACGTTTCAGTTACTTATGCCGGTACTGGCTTGGCAAACCGAGAATTGAAAAGACAACCCACTGTTTTCTTCTTCCTACCAATCACCCATGCACAATTGACCTGGAGTGCCCCTCCCTGCCCACCAAGGCATACAGAACCTTACGTAAGTACCGACATTAGTGACTGAAACGTTACAAGGCCGCGGCACTCACAGCTAAGCAGTAAGAAATATATTACACATGCCAATAAGCACGTGTGACCAAAGGTGCGTAATTCGAGATTAATGACACCGTGATGGAGCATGTCGGTGAACACCTATAAAAAGGAACTGGCTGCAAGCATGATAGCTGGCGTGTCACTGATACTATTACCCAAGTAGAAGAGTGTTACAAAGCAGCGTTAAGTTAACATGCTACGAATGCCGGGGGTAAAACAATGTCCTGATCCTGTTGAGGGCAGGTGGCATCGCTATGATTTTGCTGAAGACAAAATGTCAGTGACACACACTACCATGCATAGTCACACATACAAACGTCATATACACGTGGACCATTCACCTCTCTCTCCCCTTCTCTGTCTCTCATCTCTCTCTCTCTCTCTCTCTCTCTCTCTCTCTCTCTCTCTCTCTCTCTCTCTCTCTCTCTCTCTCTCTCTCTCTCTCTCTCTCTCTCTCTCTCTCTCTCTCTCTCTCTCTCTCTCTCTCTCTCTCTCTCTCTCTCTCTCTCTCTCTCTCTCTCTCTCTCTCTCTCTCTCTCTCTCTCTCTCTCTCTCTCTCTCTCTCTCTCTCTCTCTCTCTCTCTCTCTCTCTCTCTCTCTCTCTCTCTCTCTCTCTCTCTCTCTCTCTCCTCTCTCTCTCTCTCTCTCTCTCTCTCTCTCTCTCTCTCTCTCTCTCTCTCTCTCTCTCTCTCTCTCTCTCTCTCGCTCTCTCTCTCTCTCTAACCCTCTTTCTCCCACTCTCATGTCTACACGCACACAAACTTACGCTCACGCTCACACTCACGCACACGCGCACACATATATACAAACGCCCACACGTTGTGTTTGATTTCACCTGTGTCGTATGCACGGCAGAAACTTTATTGGGTTATATGCCTTAAGATTAGGGATTCGGAGGCAATATGGCTTTGAGGAGCCCAAGCCCCCGCGCGGTCAGTCCTATCGGGCAGGGCTGCACGTCCGTAGGGGAAAGAAACGCTGCGCCGTCGGTCCTGTCGGGCAGGACTGCAGGGCCGTAGGGGAAAGAAACCCTGCGCCGCCGGCCCTATCGGGCAGGGCTGCAGGTCCGTAGGGGAAAGAAACCCTGCGCCGTCGGTCCTGTCGGGCAGGGCTGCAGGTACGTAGGGGAAAGAAACCCTGCGCCGCCGGCCCTATCGGGCACGTCCTCGACGAACCTTGTAAACACGCGTGGTCCCTTGCGGTCACCGAGTGTTTAAGGAAATGTTCAAAATTATTTTTTGAGAACACCCTGACGTGGGTAGATTGCTAACACCTACACATTGCAGTCGTCAGATTATTCCATTATTTTGTGACAAGACAGCAAGTTGAGAACAGTCGATAATTATGGGCGGCAAATGGTTGTTCAGTGTGTTGTTTTTGCCATGTTTTGTCATCAAAAACGTGATGAGAATTTCACACAGCATGAAATGATGCTAAGAGCAGTCAGGTTAATACTTTTTGCATGACTATGAACTTGGAAAGTTGTGACATCACCTAACTTTCATAATTTGAGCCTAGGGAACATAGGTTATGAGCTATGCAGAGGGTACAAGTATGAGTCTAGCAGTTTGCACTGCTTTTTCCTAAAAAAAATACTTTGTTAAGTTGACTGGCACAATTCACTGCCCCACATGGGATAACAATATTTGAGGTAGGGCGAAATCAATGAACAACACAAGACGTATGCTGCATGCTACTGACATACTTAATTCTACTCACTACTCCTTTACTTTGGCTGACTGTACTGAAAATGTAGTTGACATGATCCGTGAATTAAGCGTTTTCTGCAATCATTTCCACATATCTCACCTCCTACTCTTCCTTTATCAGTAGGTTGCTAATAGGCATTTAAAGCTTGGAACTTGAATCCATTGTTGAGTGATATAGGGGATACGTTTCTTGTGTGTCATGCAGCAATGGCAAATGGTTGGCTCGCAACAACAACAACAATTCCTTAATCAGCCGGGTGACGATCTACCTGTTTCTGAGACTATTTTTTTTTTGGGGGGGGGGGGTATGGCACCAGTGTCGCTGGTATCCGACAGACACGTTATATCAAGAATACGCACTGGCAGCTCATTTAGGAAACGATCCGCAGAGACGAAAATGGAAACGATCGAAACAAAACGAGGTTTGATCGCAGATCATTGGCAAAGATGACGAAGAGCACTGGGTCCATGAGAGACCATGGGGCACTTCGTAACAGCTTGCCGATAGATTACCCGCATAAAATTCATGGGTTATGCCATAATTCAGAAGGGTGAAGTGTTTTTGCAAAACTAGGTGTGTCTGTTAATGAAATAACAACGGAGCATCGCTTTTCGCTTGCATAGAAAGGCTGTTTAGGATTTGCTTTATATTAGTTGTTACTTCTAGCTTCATATCACATTTGAAGGTTTCTGGTATTACCCCAGGTGGTAATAGTAGTTGTAATGCCGTTTTCCAACCCAAACTCGATGGCCGCCATATTTAAGTATGCATTAAGATTGGATACCAACTGTTTTTACGACAGATTGATGCGGTGAAAGATTTTAAAATCTTTTTCAACGTTTCCATGAACTTTTTGTTTATACTATGGCACTCTGAAAAGAAAATGTTTGTTTTCATGCATCTTGATTGACATTAAATAGGCAAACCACGTGTTCCCATCTAAGAATAAGTTTACTATTTGACACGACATTCTTTATAGACATGCTGTCTTCAGTCTATGCCCTTATTTTACCCAAATCCTAGGAAGTCACCAAGCGTGGCAATCAGCTGTGAGGATTGGTCCAGGCTGTTGGATGGTTGGTTGCGCCATTATTTTTTACGTCGGTACTGTGGGGAGCAAAGCGGGCTTTAAGGGTCATTCAATTCAAGCACATTTATCGTGGATCGTGTTTAGGTATGTGGCTATGTAAAAACTGCATAACTGTGAACGGAAACACGTTAGGGACAAGGGGGCTTGGTTTAACGCATCTGCGTCCTGACATGCCTTCGAATGCTTAAAAATGCCTCGAAAATTTATGTAGGAGAAGATCTGGCATCATGCCCGCCCACAAAAACATTATCTTGCATAAAGTCAGCCCACTACAGTGTGATGAAAATATACGTCTTTACAGGCATGTTAACTTGCCAAAATACACGTCTTTAGAAACAAAAATGTGATCTCTTAACTTCATTTCTAACCGAAAATTACTGAGTAAAGTTGTGTCGTTAGAAACTATATGCTGAAAACGCAAACAATTTTTAGGGCATCGTACGTAAGCCATCGTTAGAACGGCCATTGCTTTTGAAAAAATAAGTTCCGAACGGTTTGCATGGGTGACTTTTGGCTCAGAGCACCTGCTAAACATTGCTTATCGCGTGTACCCTGAACCCATCACCCAGGTCGTGCCGTCCAGTCAACGGATAGCTTTGCCTCCTGCCTGTCTGCCAGACAGCAATGCGGAGGGTTCTGCGTGCTACATAGCGCCGCGGCACGGCCGCGCCGGGCCTATGCTCCGGGCTCCGGGCTTTCGATGCATTTTATGAGTTAATGATGTCACCATACGCCATTTTATGATTAAGTTACGTTAGTATTACAGGGCTACCGTGAAATTCTTAATACCAAGGCAGTATTTGAAGGTTCTGTAAGATGGAAACATTTCACATTTTGAATGGTAAACACGCCCAAACTCCCAACCTTGCCATATCCCCCAAAGTCCCGCGGGTTTCAAAACCCACACTCTGCCGACCCGCGGGAGTAGTTCACACGGTTGGCGGCTCCCACGGAACTGAAGGTGGCGGCTCCAGTTCACACGGTCTCGCTTCGCGGCCGGTGCTCACCTGGCTCATCATGGGGTCGTAGTTGATCTGACACATGTACGTGCCGCGGTCCTCCTCCTGCACGTTGTTGATGTGCAGGTTCCAAGTGGTCAGGTCACGGTGTGACACACGCACTCGCGGGTTGTGCGTGATCACGTGCGTGTGGATCGCTTGGATGGCCTTCGAGTCGGCCTTCACCCAGCCGACCTGCAGGGCGGGACGGCGGCGCCAGGTTAGAAGACAGCTGTGGACGATACTTGGAGGTTGTCAACGCATATGTATATTGACACGTAAGAAACTGACTTGGAGTGGTTGTGAGTGCCAAGAGTATGCGTCCACCCAGTCTGACATGCAGTCGTCGGGGAAGAACGGGCTAAATTAATATGTGCAGCATAAGTTTAAACTTCCTCTTACTCTGGTATAACAATATCAAAGAAGGAATGGAATGCAGCCAGTCCGCATGGGAATGGGCCTGACACGTTTCTCAGCCAACACATTGTGAATCATCCACCCAATGAATATCAGAAATCGAGGTGTAGCTGCGTCGAATGCCCATACACTCAGATACGTAATCTAAAGCACACCTTCAAGTGCTCAATTTTCTGAAAACAGATTTGCTTTAGATGCATGCAATACAACAACGCTGGGATGCATTTTGAGTGCAGGACTGGCACTAAAACCACATCTCCTTTTCGAAGAGAATCAATTTTAGTAAGCCCTCTACTCCCGTCGTCCTACGTGGTCATTTTGTCAACGATGCCTTCCCTGCACCGGAATGACTGATCAAGCTGTCACTCATACACGGCAGCGAGTTTTCGAACGGCGCGGTAATCTAGCAGGGGGCGCGAGATGTGCCAAAGTGGACCCATTCGGTTGATAATGGAACAAGATTGATGAAGTTCGGAGCTGAATAATTAATTAATGTCAAGCCGTATTGTTCGCAAACCCTGCAGAGCGGCATGGCGCATTAACTGTTAATAAATTTCCGGCCATTATGCCCCTGGGTGGCAGATGCGACCATAGCAAGGCAGATTGGACAATGAACTCCATGTGAGAGTCCGGTGTCAGAGGCTGATTCTAAAGGTCGAATACAAGATTTAAAACTGTTTAGGCGCTGATAAGCATAACGTATCTCCCTACGTGTAGATGAACCGTGCGATTCTTGGAATGATCATGTTTTCGACAGAACATATCGGGAACGCATCACGACAACTTACAGCGCCCTCCATTATCCAAATATACATTGCTACGCAAGGCATGTGGCCTGTCACATAGCTATTTACCATGGCACAAGGCAAAATTTTTGTACACGTGCCATTCACCAATCTTAAACCAATCCATCTAACTATCCCGCTTTTAGAAGAGTTACCAAGCTGACTGTCCATTCCATCACATAAAAATATTCCAAGCCTGATCGGTATCAGAAGTTCAAACTCGGTTTAACATGACAAGTGAATGCAACATATATGGGTACATTTACACCTCAATTCTTGATTAGACTCTTTATTGGGTAAGAATACATTTGTGCAAACTATTCTTTGAATTTAGTCTTAGCTCACATCGCTAGCATCGTTTCTGGCCGAGTCCAGTCCAATCCGTGGATTCATCCCGAATCCACAGACTGATCCGGACCATGAAGAGCTCAAGTTAGATGAATCATTTTTCTCCGTTTAGCTAAATGATCTCTGTGTGCCGATGAAAGACGTACGTCTCCAAATCAAATAACAGTTTTGCAACGCCCACAGCTGCACAGCAACTGGCCCTTAAAAAGACTGGATTAGTTGGACATCGCAAAAGCCGGAACCTCATTAAATGTGCGTATGCGATACGATGTGACTAGGCGTTCGTACCTGTTTGAATGAATTGCATCTCGAACCTTTGAATCTACGGATCAATACGTTCAAGGCTGAAATGGTCTCAAGGTGTTCACCTTTCAATCATTCCCAATCAAACTGGCTAATCGTGTCTACTGTATCTAATACCCTTTGGACGTGCGGGTGAGATTTCAGGTTGTTTAGGTTATCAGTGCATCACAAACTAAGACTTGTAGTGACTAATGATATTGAGCTTGTCTGATATATTCATATGAGCTTGTCCACCCACGGACATAAAACAAACCGACAAAGCCACACACACACGTCATGTTCACGACTGCATGCGGCAGTGGTGTAGCCAACGGGAGAGAGAGGGGGGGGGGGGGTTCTAAAACCATGGTGCTCGTCCCCTAGTGGAGGACGCCCAGCAGAGGCCAAACTCGCAGCATTTTTCGGCATTTTAAGACGACCGTAGGGCTCTAAAGCATAAACAGGAGACTCCCGGGCTTCATAAATGGGGTCCACAGCCTTAAAAGTCCTGAAACCCAGAAACCAGGGGCCAGAGGCGACGAGATAGGCTCCCCAGCTGAAGAGGCCACCTGGTTTGCGAACAGGAGCGGTTCTCTCGCAGAACTCCGAAATGCTGGTCGGCGTACGTGAAGCGTGCTTACCCGGTAGCCGCCTAGGTGGCGGACGACGCAGGTAAACGTGGCGTCCCTTCCAATCGGCACCGTCAGGTTCTTCAATGACTCGATAAACTCCGGCCGCGCCCCCCACGCTGCAACAGAGGGCGACGTGGAGCTGAGAGATGTCCCTCCCCGCCGCATGGACCGGACGTGAGTCGGAGGCTGCACATGACACGCATAGCTGCGGAATGAGAGGTCGTTATTATCCGAGAGTGACAATCAACCGCTCTTCCTGCTTCCTTTTCGACATTAAACTTGTGTTTGGTCAATGAATGAGCGACGCCGGACTGCAGAGATATTCGTGTATAGCTATTGCAGGTAGAACACCACGTCGATGTAAAAATATAATGATCGTGTGCATGCAGCACATTAAGGCCGGAGTTCAGTAGTGTCTACACAGAGCCAGCCGCGTTTCGAACACGTCTCATCCGACTTGCACCATTAGTACACAAGTTCACTCGATTCTTCGTCATTTATTCTCACAAATTGCATTCTTTGAAGCTGCGAAATCAACTTAAACATCTGATAGAGACAAAACGGTCCCATCGCGGCCACACGGCTCGGAAATCCCCCTCCCCCCCCCCCCCCCTCTGAGGGATGACAGGGCACATCTCGTGGCTACTGACCAGCACAAGTTTCTGCGTGGACCTGACGCGGACGAATTTAGGCGCTCAATCAGGATTGCTATTGATGGCCTTCAGGCCGGCGGCGATTATTGGGGGCTTGTTGATTTACGGCCTTTAATCTTCTGTCCGGCCGACAAACGACCAGATCAGAGCGGAATGAAATCAAACGGCAGCCTCACCAGCTGTCAGCTAACCGGCGAAGCAGGGAACAGAGCGGGCTGCGCACGGCTGGCGGAGCGGAGAGCCCGCCCCGGCCGACGACGAGGCGGCTGTCACCCGACAGCAGCAGCCTTCGCATCAGCCCGCCATCAGAGGCCGGCGTCTGGCTGAGCTCGGTTCGGATCTGTTTATGGAGCAGCTCGGGTTACACCGCGCGGCCACCGGTGCGTGCCGACCGGCCGCTGCCGACGGCCGCGCCGCCGCCGGTCGGGGCCGTGGGCGCTGACGGCGGCGCCTCCCGACGCGGTCCGATCGTGCCGTGCTGGCCTCGTTTGGCCTCTTGTCCGGCGACGCGGGGTGCGCCGCCCCGGGGGAGGCGCGACGCCTCGTCAGCCGTCGGGCGCGGCGAGACGGGCGGCGTCCCCCTCTGCTCATTACCCGGCCATTACGCCGTCGTCGCCGCATTGTCACACGCGCCGCCGCCGCGAAACGTCAGCGGCGCGCCATAATTGTCGCCCGTCGTCAGTGCGGCCCGCAGGCTATTGACACGAGGCCACCAAATTGACCGGACCGGCGAGAGATGGGGGGGGGGGGGGGGGGGGGAGCGTGGCGGGACGCGGGGCCGAGCATTCTTGCACGGATGCTCCTCTTATCTGATGCTGTTAGTCGTCTCAGCAGGCGCAATAGCCGACAGCAGGCATTCCAAGCAGCAACGAGGGAAAACTCTATTCAGGTCAAAGAGGCTGCTCCATACCTTGCTTCCGAGCATGTTCCTGACATGTGTTGCGTGTTTGCGATCACTTATATGAATAAGACAGCATTATTGGGCATTAGTCGGAGGCCTTGACGATCTGTTTATCTGGACTGACGTCGGTGAGAGCGAGCCTGTCCCCAGTTTCATTTCCAATTCCCGCGCGCCACCGAAGCATACAGCATTGGTTGAGGTGCTACCCGAGTTTGACGGGGCAAGTGCAAACAGACCGAGGGACTGACATCCCAGCGGTCATGTCCCAGCGCGGTGGTTAGCACAGCCACATGGGAGTGTGTGGGGCAATCTAGCTCATCGTCAGAGACCACTGTGGTCCGACATGGGAGGCCTCTCATCTGAGAGACCGACTGACTGTGCGACCGTTGCCCCGTCCACCGGACCGCCCCCACCCCTCCCTCGTCCACTGGATCGCCCCTCCCTCGTCCACCGGACCGCACTGCGCGGTCAATGCGCCCGATTACGCGCCCCCGCCCTGGTTCCGGCCGCACAACCAGTGTTCCCCGGCCGGGCCGACACGGAAACCCTTTCTGCGGAGAATGCGGCGGTGGCCAGCGGCGTGCGCGTCCTATTTGTCGACGTATTTCAAATTCGAATGTCTGTGCCCCAGGCCGGTCCTGTGTTTTCGGCAGCACTTTAAATCCTATCGATCTGGTGGCATCAACGGTTGCGTCGCCAAATATTGGCTTAGAGCCGCCCCCATGTGTGCTGCTGAATGCCAGATGATGGCAACAGCATTAGGATCTGAAGCAGGTCAGTTATTTCGTCATTGCATATGCATGCGAGTGATCGATGACCTACCGTAAACCTTTCTGATTGCTTTCCAGCATTGACGAACGCGTACGTTTTTGGGGCGCTCCCTTCTCTCCGGCATTTAACGGAGAAAACGGCCTGAGCGTAAATACAATCCCGAGGAAATTATGGCGTGATAACCAAATCTAACATCGCGTCTTAAAAGCATAAGCGATTGGTCCAATCATTTAGACTGGAGCAGCGAACATTGCCGCAGCGTTTCTTTAAGTTTAGATAAGGAGACACACCCATGTGCCGTTATTAACTCTTAAGTAAATAATGTTGAGGGCCACGAACGCCGCCAAACGTCCCCAAGGCCGTCGCAGCGCCGTCTATCGGAACCAATGATCGGGCTGATGTAATTATGTCCAACTATCTCCCAACGCCGAGCGCTTCGCCCGGTGCCGGCTGCCGACCGACGCAGCGATATCAAGTAAGTTTTTGTTTCGGAAGCTCACGAGTGCAGAGTAAATAGACACCTCGGATCCGGAATAACAATGCCGTGTCTCGGAGGGTCGCCGCACAAGGAGCAAAATCAACATGTTCGCGGCGACGGGCAGGCGGCGGTCGTACGATCTCGTCGCACCGTGTCGGCGGCGGCCCGGCACTTTAGACGCTGCCTCACCGCCATGAGTCTTTGCTTGATGTGTCGTGAAGCCGCAACATGCATAAGTGTGTTGCTCGTTGAACTGAGTGTCCATGCTATTTAAAATGCAGCTTGGTGCATGCAGGTACTTACTGCGTAGCTGCATTAAGTAAGCTACCGGAGATATCTAATTGATTTCAAACCAAACTCCCTTGGGAGAACTCGGCTTTGTGACGACACTCACCTTTCATTCTACAATGCCAGTTTTTCACCTTCAGTCTCTACCATTCGTTCGCTGCATCCGCTATATTTCACTCAGCTGCTATTACATTTATCCGCCGATTCCCTGAACGTTGACATTTAAGTGGATAACCCAAGTCAGAAATTTATATCATGTCCCACGCTGACATCTCCTCACTGTGGTCTGTTTTGTCTTTTATCTTGCAGGACAGGACGTTGAGGAGCCGTCGCTAGGATATACGGAATACCACTGGGACGCGTGGTACATGCTTCATTGCCAGAGGGAGGTTCAGAAACTTCACTTTTCCCGGTGTTAGGGAGAGTCAAATCTCTCACCTCCCCCGGCGGTAGGGAGAGTCGGATCCCTCACCTCTCCCGGAGGTAGGGAGGCTCCCTCACCTCCCCCGGTAGGTGCAGGGAGAGGCGGATCCCTCACCTCTCCCGGCGGCAGGGGGGGGGGGGGGGTCAGAACCCTCACCCCTTCTGTTGGTGGGGAGGGTCGGGTCCCTCACCTCTCCCGGCGGCAGGAAGGGTCGGATCCAGTCGGATCCCTCACCTCTTCTGTCGGTGGGGAGGGTCGTATCCCCCACCTCCCCAGGCGACAGGGAGGGTCCGATCCCCCACCTCGTCTGTTGGTGGAGAGGGTCAGGCTCAACTCGGCCTGCCTCCGACACCGCTGAAGCGAGACTCATCAGTCATTGGCGCGGAAAATCGCACCTTGCCGCGTGTCGGCGCGTTATTGGCGCCAACCAGCTGCCGCCGGCTAATCAGACAGCATGTGACGCCGCCTGGGGGCGCCGGTGGCGACTGCGATCACGCTGTTGACGGATTTACAGATAGCGTCACAGACAGCAGGTCTGGAAAACGTCTGGGGAGACCGGGGTTTGTCTAAACAAATCTGATGCCTTAATTAGGCGCAGAAAGGGGGGGGGGGGGAGAGAGTCAGCTCTCAGCTGTGTGTGTATTTCCACTCTCATGATGTATCACTGATTTACTATTTATAATTCGTATCCCCAATCCAAATTCCTTATCACGCACGGTGGCAAAATGCCACGTTCCATGACGCTGTGCGTTTATTCTCAGCAACATCGCGCGGGCCGGTGCGGCGACAAAGGGGACTGGCTGGAGCTGGCGCCGCTGATTATCTGCCTCCGTTGCCAGTGCTCTAGCTGTGTTTGTGCACGAGCCGCCGGTCCGCCCGGCGGCGGCAGCCTCAGTGGCGGCGGTGGCAAGGGGTTCCGACACCGGCTCCCAGCCAGTGATCCACACGCGGCGCCTGGCGCCGCGCCTGCGCCGACTGTTCCGAGTGAGTTACTCGCAATACCCCAAGACGCTATCCGGTAAATTGGCCTATCATAATCAACCAAAAAGGGACGCTATTGAATTATGGCCTGCTAACAAGGTAGATATTCATTCGCGCAGGACGGAAGCCAGACGGCGCGGGCGGGTCGGGCGGCCCCATCACTCGTGGCGTCGACCGACCCCGCCGCCCCGCCTGCGTGCCCCAGGGCGTGACTGGAGCCGGCTCCGAGGAAACGAGGAGAGAGAGAGAGAGAGAGAGAGAGAGAGAGAGAGAGAGAGAGAGAGAGAGAGAGAGAGAGAGAGAGAGAGAGAGAGAGAAGAGAGAGGAGAGAGAGAGAGAGGAGAGAGAGAGAGAGAGAGAGAGAGAGAGAGAGAGAGAGAGAGAGAGAGAGAGAGAGAGAGAGAGAGAGAGAGAGAGAGAGAGAGAGAGAGAGAGAGAGAGAGAGAGAGAGAGAGGAGAGAGGGAGTTTCACATGCTGCCCGTTGTAATAGGTGAAAACGCTATCTGAGGGAAAGGTACATTTGGCGCAGACCTTAACCTCATGAAAATCTTGGATGTGCCCTGACCAGCTCTGAACTGAACACCAATTCGCTGAAAAAGTAACCTTTCTTTCTTTGCAT